AATGCTTCTTCATGTTGAGAACTATACGAAAAGTATAATTTTTAAGCCAGAACTCCGAAATAACGGCCAGCGTCTCATACCTATGTGTCTAAGTACGTGACGCTCGGGTGATATTTATTTATTTAACAATTGTACGTTATCGCAATTGCCCGGAACTCTTTAGAAAATGCTTCTGCATGTTGAGAACTATACGAAAAGTATAATTTTAAGCCAGAACTCCGAAATAGCGTCTCATACCTATGTGTCTAAGTACGTGACGCTCGGACGGTATTTATTTATTTAACAATTCGTACGTTATTATAATTGCCCGGAACTCTTTAGAAAATGCTTCTGCATGTTGAGAACTATACGAAAAGTATAATTTTTAAGCCAGAACTCCGAAATAGCGGCCAGCGTCTCATACCTATGTGTCTAAGTACGTGACGCTCGGACGGTATTTATTTATTTAACAATCGTACGTTATTATAATTGCCCGGAACTCTTTAGAAAATGCTTTTTCACGTTGAGAACTATGAAAAGTATAATTTTTAAGCCAGAACTCCGAGTTGTTTGTTTGTAGTTTAGCTCGATCTCTTATTACATTAATAATTATTTTGTATTTATGTTTAAATAATTTTTTTTGCTTTAATTTGACAGAATTCTTTATAGAACTCTTGTAGAACTATAAATCTTTTAAAATCTTGCATCGGCGGACATCGGAACTTATTTAGGACAAAGTGAGACGCGGCGTGAACCTGGTGTCTCACTTTGTCCGAAGCGATTTTTTCACTTTAATGAGCAGAACTATTTGTTTAATTTATCAAGAACTCTAGAACTATTCGAAAGGAAGTCAGAACTCTCAATAATTTGTGAGTTTCCGCGAAATGAGACGCCAACTTCACACACACACAATATAATTTTATAATAAAGTATATTGATATTTTTTGCTGTTGTAGCATGAAATGATCCATGCATATTTATTTTTAACAAATAACGATCGTGATCGAGATGGTCATGGGCCAAATTTCTGCAAACATATGCACAGGATAAATAAAGAAGCAGGAACCAATATAACGGTGAGTTAATAACTATATATATTAATGTTAATTTATTTTAATATTGATATAATGTTGAATAAACAAATAGCTGATACACGATTATGCACTAAAATATGCTTTAAACACATTAATTTTTAGATTCTTACAATTAAAAGCATATATCAATATTTTGATTAATTAAATTACAAATAATTTCGTATTTACAAAAAAATACATATTTTATTATAAAATTTTACTAATATCATACTAATCGCTAATATTTTTTGTTATATTATAACCTATTTATATTGAAGAATTTTAGTAATTTAGAAATTGTCTAAAAATCAAATATTTGAATACAACTGAATTTTTGACTTGAGTTAAATAGATATAAAAAAAATAAATTTGTAAAAATATCATTCATCTGTGATATCATAAAAATTTTGTTAAATTTTTACTTTTAAAATTTTATAATAACAAGATTCTCATGTTAAAATACAGATTTATCACAACTTTCATGATGAAGTGAAGCTGTACAGACAGCATTGGTGGAAATGTAACGGACCTTGTCAACACAGACCACCATTTTTTGGGACGGTTCGGCGAAGTATGAATCGTCCACCTGGTCCGTCAGATTTTTGGTGGCATGAACATCAGCAGAATTGCAATGGCCAGTTCATAAAGATAAAAGAACCAGAAAATTTTAAATCGCATACAAGACAAAATGATAAATCAAAACCAATGTTAAAAGACAGTAAATCGAATGGAAGTTTAACCAATTGGTTAAAAAAGAATACTCCAACGATGGACGTAGTTTTACCTACATCTTCAAGAATCCTTAGTAATAATGATTTTAAAATATTTACTCCAATAGATAATGATAAGCCTAGTACTAGTAAAGACAATGGTGGTACAAATTCCTCTCGCGCTGTGAATGAGAAAGATACTCAAAATATATCATCAACAGGAATGAAAAAACTCGGAAGCTCTAGTAATAATATACATGGTTGGGGTACTAGTGGTCCGAGTGGTGAAAACATAAAAAAAGATAATACAATGAACATTTCTAAAAATCCCACGTTTTCCTGTTTTGGTGTTTTGGGAGGTAGTAATAGTGGTCGGAGTAATCTCCTGACCAAATTCAAACATATAAATAATGATGATGAGAATCACCGTTGTGAATCAATTAAAAGAAATTCATCATCGGAATCGTCACGGGCATCATCGTCGGCATCATCATCTGCCATTAATAATCCAGTGTTAAATCTAAGTCAACCAAGAAATAATTCCGTACCTTGTCCTATATGTAATGTACCTATGACCTTAGAAAATATATATAGACACATAGATTCATGCCTAATAAACGATAATACATCATTAATCGATGAGATTAACAATAATATCAATAATAATAATAACAATGAGGAATTAATGTTACCTATTCGAACATTTTCCACATCGGTCGCGGAACAAAACGAAAACGTTAATGAAAACATGATTCCTAATAAGCGTTTAAGATTAGATAATTCGAATGAAACAGTTGAACATGTTACTTGTCCTGTTTGTGATAGAAGACTGCCATCCACGGATATTAATCAACATCTTGATGAATGTCTATTAGAAGCAGACACAGTTCGAAAAGCTGCCATTCCTTCCACCTCTCGTGCATCATATGATGACAGTATAATCAATATAAATAGTTCCTCTAGTTCCGATTTGGATGATTCTGTATTGATCGAGGATCCAAAAGCACAATCTTGTGTAAGTACGAGCGCTGGTAAAACCGACACAATAGCTCTCGAACAGAAATGTTTAGTTTGCAATGCACAAATAGCACCTGAAATATCATTAAATGAACATCTTGAAGAATGTATTGGAGGCCTCTTCAATGATGATACAATGATAATAGATGATAATGAGGATGATAATGACGATAAGGTGGAAAATAATATCATGGAGAACAAATATCCCTGTCCAGTATGCATGCAAATAATATCGGAAAATCTTATGAACCAGCATTTAGATATGTGCCTTAAAAATGAATAAGTGGTCTTGCGAATAAAAAGAGCAACAATGAACTATTTTGCGGATGAGATGTTTTTTTTTTATGTAAATAAGTATGTTAGTAAATATCTTTTCATATATAATATTCGTTTTTTGCATATCGCGATTTTATAACGAGACAAAATTAATATAATTATTACAAAAATTAATGTAATACAAGAGAAAAAAATTATATGCAATTTTAAACAGTATTTATATATATATTATTTTTCATGTCTATTAAATTCGTTTATTATGTTCATTTGCCATTGTCATTAAATAGGAATTTGAAGTATTACACATTACGATAAAACCTGTGTTACAAGAGAAGACACAGTTTATACGCCGAATGTAATTTATTAAAAATTGTTTATATAATCTGCATGTAACTCGTAATGTGCATATAATTTAATAAGTTCTTTTACAGTTAAGACTGGTTAATAAATAAGCTAGATTATTTGTTTAGAAGTCGTTATATGAAATTCTTAGCTTTATTTTGTAATAAATAGTAAATACACACAATATCTAAGGCTAGTAATCGGTTAAAATCTACAGCTTTAATTATTTTGTTATTTAAGGTAATGTGTTAGAGTTTTTTATTATTTGCTAAAGTTTGTATTTTATGATAGAAAGGAATCAATAAAATATAATATGAATATAGTATGATTATGTACGAATCGCTCAGATGTTCGGCTTATATTATCCAACGTTTGCTTATTGGCAAATAGTTTATTGATAACAGATATGAACTGACTTGGTATAATAGTAAAGAAGTTTCAAATATCGATTGATTCAACAGCCGAAAATCCGAGCTCTAATTATGTAATTATATAGATATCTTTTTTGTACTGTACTATTTATCAGATATATATTAAAAGATATATTAAAAATGAATATGAAACTATATATTATTTTGTGATACCATTAATATATTGCGTTATTACATACGTACTTTAACGAAATTAGAATTTTTCATACAATCTATCGATGTTGGGATGATTGAGTGTGCATATTCCGCAACTAAATTCTAGAACATGATTGGGGAAGAAAAGTAGAACCTGTTCTTGCGTCCAATGCATATACAGGAAAAGATTAGGTAACAAGATATCGATTGATTTACTCCCCATTTTGATCCTGCAAATTTAACAATCTTTTTTGGTTTTATAGTAAAAGTTTTATGGTTAAAGAGCACAAATGATGCAAATCAATTTTATTGCATCATTTGTGCTTTTTAACTATGAATATATACACATACACACATTTATTTATTTATTTAAAACACGTTATACATACATATAAAATATATATACACACACACACACACACACACAACAAATACATATGTATAAATAACGTGTTTTGATATAAAATTGTATGTCTAAAGTCAACTTTACATTATTACTGATTTATTTTGAGCTTTTTACTTAATATTAAATACTATCCTCTTTTCTTACTTTTTAGTTCCTAATGTATGAAATATGTAATCAGGTTGCATTTGTATGTATGATGTAGCATTATATAAGATTCCTCTATCTTTGTCGGCTGTAATCCGTGTAGTTCCCGATTCGTCAGTTAAATTAACGTTGATTCCGAGCGCGTCGTTGGATGCTGTTAATGCAAGTCTAGGATTCTCCTCGTAACATTGTCCAAGTAATATCACTTCGCTATTCTTAGCGAAAGTATAAATCGTATCATATGCTGATTTTATAGAATCTAATGTTATGATACATGTGCCTAAATTATAAAACATTAAACAATTTGTAATACTTTGAATTAAATATTTCGTCACATGTATCAGACTTGAGCAAATGATCTGAAGATCAAGATATTACTCACTAGAAAACATTCTGAACAAAGGTATTTCCAAATATTTATGAATTCTTGTTCGTATCAAGAAAAGATCAATATAGCGCGAGTTATATTCAATCGCAACTTTATCACCGTTAAGTTGTAGTTCGCCAACATTTGAATCTTTAGGAAAAATTGCGGTTATCGCGAGCTCATCGGATTTTCTTGCAATGCTGCTATTTCCACCGATAAGATCATACAAGGCGTACATTTTCCAGATTAGCTTGGATAAACTCTGTGGTAGCTGTCGTTTTCATTATAAGTTTAATTATTACATTATTATAACGTGATTGTGCACGTAAGAGTTTACAAAGCTCTTAAAACTTACATTTTCGTATTTTGCGAAGATTTTGTATTCTCGCAAGGTTGACAATTCTTTCGATGCCTCGTAACAAGAATTTGTATAAGGAATGACTCGCTTTTCCATAGATTCTTTTTTGCATTCGCCATAAGGCCAATTTGCTCTTTTACTTTCCTCAAGCTGCTCGCTGCTAATATCGCCAATTAAGTTGATCGATATAGAAGATCCGCTGCATTTTCCTTTCGCGGTATCGGATGGTCCCCAAACGATATTTAACTTAATGCGAGAGAAGTCACTCGGTTCGACACTTAAAATTTCCCATTGCCACGGCACGTGTCTTTCGGCCTCTACGCAAAACTAAATCAATCAATAAATCAGTTTCAGTTATATTCAACAGATGTTGTATATGTGATGTCAAACTTACCTTAAATACGCGTTCACCGGGCACAATTTTAGTCGCTTTAAGTTTAATCACATCTGATAACCAATTAGAGCCTTCGTATAATGCAGCTAGATTCCATTGATAAAGTACTTGCGAGGATTGTAGATCGTGGTGCGTTAAAGATAAAATGTGACGATTTTCACTTTTCAAGTATTCCAATCGCGTCTAATCAAAAATATTTGATATAATGAATATTTTATAATAAATATTTTATTATACGTGTAAACATATAAAATTCATTTGAGAGTATAAACGAAGGACTATTTGAGCTGAAACAAAATGGCAATGTTATTTTCATAAATATCAATATTTACAAAAATTTATCGCAACGCAATCGTTTCGGCGACCTTCAATATGGTCATCTTCAGTGTATCAAAATAGTTGATAAAAACAAATTAAATAAAATTATTCCTGTTAAATTCAATTAGTTAAAAATTCGAAGCGCCTTACAGTTGTTCAAGATATAAAATTTATGAGATGAGAAGGAAGTCACAGTACTTTGTCTTAAGTCGAGTTGAATTGATAAAATTTTAGCTTTTATCATCTAAGTAAGGCTAAGAATATTAAAAATGAAACGGTAAAAAAGAGTATGTCAACCTTGCTGGATGTACGTGCTAAGAATATATTTTATAAAAAAACGGACAATGTATAGTGTAAAAAAACATTAAAAACAGTTTCGATCTATATCAGATCATTTTCAGTGTAGCAAGCAAGGGGCGGTGAATTAAATGCATGTAGTTACATAAATAAGAAAAATTAAAAAATAATATAAATCGTGAATTATCAAACGGATAAAACGTTAGAAAAATAGTATAAATCATTGGAATGTCAAATGGGTAAAAATAATAATATATAATAAAAATAATAAAATAACGCATTATATGTCCGAAAAAACAAGCAGGTTGAACAAGAGATTTCAAAGAGAAATATTGATTATAATATTGATTTTCCGTGAAGAACCGAAAAATCTCTCAGGTGTATAATTCCTCAGACATATAATTAAATGACAGAAGAAGTATTGTAAAGTTATTCAGAATTGTGCTTTATTAGTTGTCCATGAAAATTCATAAAAATATTTTTCATGAACAGAATTTGAATTGGAATATAATTAATATGAACAATGAAAAGATTGTGTGAGAATAAGTTAATTGTGGATATAAACTAATAAAATAAAATACCTGAGAGAATAGATTCCCAATCTTCAAATATCGTTCTAGAACATTTTGCTACTGGATATACTGGTTATTATGAACAGACAACGATGTATTTTTTGTGCTGACAATATACCAAATAAAGTAGAGAGAGGACAACGTTAAAAATATATATAATCACAAATAATGAAGACAGGAAAAATAGGTATGAGAAAAGGGGGAAATTAGTTTAACTAGATGGGGGAAAAAAATAAATCACAGCCAAATAATTTTTCGATAAAAGATCCGTGTCATCTTTTATGTTCAATCCATGGTGGTAGTTTTTTAATATGGACTATTTTAGAGAGATCAG